TAAAAATGCAATAATATAATAAAGTGAATGAAAAATCAATAAATTTAAAAATAAAATAAATTAAATAATAAAATATAATAAAAATGAAAATTAAATAATAAAAGTCCAATAAGAGAAAAACAACAATAATGTCCCAATGTGAAAAAAATGAATATCCAGCCTAGATAGATATACTCTCCTTCAGTCTGAAGATATGGTCTTTGCAGTGATGCTGAAAACCTGTGTGATTACAGAACTGTGAGGGATACTCCCTCCTTTGATCCACTCCTTAGTGCTCTGCCTTTGTATTCCTCGTGTGTCTCATGCAAAAAGAGATAAAAGATATGGTGTCTAATCCCAGGGGTAAAACAGCTTTTAATGTGCTTCCATATTGCACTCACATTTAAAATGATACATTTGCGCTTTGTATTTGTATGAAATCCTACAGCCTGCAGCTGAATCAGAACGAAGGGTGTGTGTCCACACACCTTCAGTACTCGCCGTATCGTAGATAGAATGCACGATGACGTCACTGCCCCTGCCCCCCCAACGCGTTGCGCTACAGGGATTTCGTAGCTTCGTCCGGACGAATCTAGGCTGGATATTCATTTTTTGCACATTGGGACATTATTGTTGTTTTTCTCTTATTGGACTTTTATTATTTAATTTTCATTTTTATTATATTTTATTATTTAATTTATTTTATTTTTACATTTATTGATTATTCATTCACTTTATTATATTATTGCATTTTTATATGATGAATTTCTTTGAGGTTCACCAATGGAAGATTTGCACATTGTAATAGGGATTGCACATATAGTGACCTGCGAATACGTTATGAATTTATTTTTCACAAGTTTAATTTTATTTATATAATGAGTCACGGTTTATCAACTATCACTTATATATAGTTATATTTTTATTTTATTTATTTACAAGCACTTTGCACTTTTGATTTAACCTCATAGTTAGTTTGCTAATAGATTTAGGTAAATTTAGTTTTGGCTCCTCTGTAGCCAGTGAAGCAGGTTTTTGATTTCTTTTGGCTGTTCTGGGTTCTGCTGGTTGTGGACTCTACTACTTCCCCTGTATTCTGGAAAGTTCTGAAACATAGTGGGTTGGAAGAGGCAGACTCCGAGCTAACCAGTCATGCAGCCTCAGCCAATCCCTGGTCAGGATGGTGCATACATAATCTAGGGCTTGGAACAGCAGGGTACTTGTCTTGGCAGAGACCGACCCAGCCTGGAGGGGCTGTCTGCCCTCCTGGGCAACTTAACAGAAGACTGCAGTGAGATCCAACAAGATCCCAGCTCAGGGAGAGCTGGGGGGGGGGGGGGCTAGTGCTAAAGCTGGGGAACAGTCAGGAGAAAGTCTGCTGGGAATCTGCCCTGGAGGCCTACAGTACAAGGTCATGTTCACAGGGACATGATGAGTAGAGGCCTGAGAGAGAGATCCCAGAGAGACTGTTGCGGCTTAACCCCTTTTTTGAGGGACTGATCTATATTTGCTGTCTCAGGGCTGTTTTCAGTTTGGGCCCCCCTGATCTGTATGTCCTCATCCTCTTTCACTAGAGGCCTACCTTGAAGAGGTTAAATACAACCAGAGAGCGCCCTCGGAGTTAAAGTTTTCACTATGTTTGAATACTCCAAGGCTCACCCCATACCCTTCCCATGTTCCTCAAGAAATACATGCTAAAAGACACCTGGTTTTTGCATGGAGAGACTGTGGAGCTGCTGTGCGCCTGGCTGATGTTCACTCAATAGGGACTAGAACCTGAAACAACAGCTTAGGGTCTGTGCTAAAATGCTAATACTCTGGCTGTGCCTGCTATCTCAAACAAGACACTCAGTGCAGGAAGTTTGAAAAATAGAATTCCCGTTCCCTGTGTTTGTTTTAGGTCAGTAAATCAGCTACTACTAAAGCTAGAACATCAACGAGACAGCCAAATAACTAGCATTTTCAGAAGAAGAAGTCAGCAAAGGGCAGCCAACATATATCTTTCATGACAGGTTTCCTTTAAATATACAACGCCTTAGATCCAAGAACTGATTGCCTTACTTACAGTTTGCACAGAACACAAAGGAACACACCAGAGGCAATTAGATGGTGTTCATCTCTGCTCCCAGTCTGTCCTCTCATCTCACTTACTGTCAATTTTATGTAGAATCACTATTTGGCAGTCAGGTGGAAAATGAAATAGCTTTTTATTCTAATACACATGGATACTCAATTGATCTCTGTGACAGTTACAAAATATAATTACAAAAGTAGAATACATTGCCCAGAGACAAGCACAATAGCAAAGATAGAAGCTGGAATGCAGTATAGATTGGGACGCTAGTACTTGGCTGATGACTAGACGTTCAAATCTTAAGATATAAAAAATCTGACATTTCTCCTCACTCACTGTGATTGTTGGACCCATGAGTGCAAACCCAGCTGGTTCTAGTCCCAAACACTAATTTGCTGAATTGGTCATACAGCACTATTCAAATATTCTAGAAATGAAGACTTTGCTTCTGCTATTAAAGAAACTCCATAAGCAGAGGGTCACTTGTATGTAAAACATTCCTGTAAAAATAGACTGCATATATTTCCCTTTCCATTGGCTTGTTTTCCAAAAAGCTATTGCTTCACTGCTTCTTGTCCTCTTTTAGTTTCCAACCAGTTGGAATGATTGAAAACCTGATTCCACCGTCACCTGCTATGGTCCTGTAATGGCATATGAACCAGCAGGAGGTAGTGGTGGGGGAGCAGGTTATTCACATATCCTGTTAAAAAATGAGATCCTGGGCAAATATAAAGTGGGGGGCCCCATGCACAGCTTTACAGCTTTCTGCAGAAGGTGGGGGCCCTGGGCAATTATCTAGTTTGCCCCCATAACTCGGGCCCTGCAGGGATGTTTTACAAGTGACCCTGTGCTTACAGCGTCTTTTTAATTTGGGCATATATTATTACTATTATACAGGATTTATATAGCGCCAACAGTTTGCTCAGTGCTTTGCAAAATGAAGGTAGACATTACAGTTACAATACAATTTGGTACAAGAGGAAACAGAGGGCCCTGCTCGTTAGAGCTTACAATCTAGGAGGAAGGGTTGAGTGATACAAAAGGAAATAGCTGTGGGGGGGATGAGCTGATGGAGGAAATAAATGGTGGTTTGCTAGGTAGAAGCAGGATAGACTTCTTTAAAGAGAAAGGTTATCAGGGAATCATCTAAAGGTGGATAGATTAGGAGACAGCTGGACAGATTGGGGTAGAGAGTTCCATAGGATGGGAGAAGCTCGGGAGAAGTCCTGGAGGCGAGCATGGGAGGAGATGACACGGGAACTAGACAGCAAAAGGTCTTGGGAGGATCGAAGAAATCTGTTTGGTTGATATTTTGAGACCAGGTTGGTGATGTAGCCGGCGGCAGAGTTGTGGATGGCTTTGTAAGTTGTTGTTAGCAGGGAATTTTTTTTTTTCTCAGAGGAAAGGTGGTGGAACTCCCCCCACCCAAACCTGGCCACGCCCCCATCAAACCCTAGGACCACCCCTTTAGGGAACAGGAATGCAAGTTAAAAAAATGGGAGGGGCTATAAAAGTAAATGTATGGAATTAACACCGCCCCCCCCCCTGCAATTTAGTAAGAATAGCGAGTAACTACTGCCCCCCCCCACACTCGGCCCAAGAAATGCGAGAAAAATGTATCGCCGCTCCTTACCTGATCTTTTTAATTTGACATGACGATCCGCGCTATGGTAGGATCGACGAGCGAGGGCGTGATGACGTCAGCGCGCACCGAAGGTAGACATGTACTAAGTTACAAACCATTTTGGGTACTAAGGGGAAACAGCCGGCGCCCGGCCCGATGTTTTACACGCTGGCGGTAGAGGGGGGGGGTGAAGCGTGCATGTCCCCGCTCAGAGCTGATGGAGGAAAGCAGCGGCTGCATGACAGGTGCAGGGCACGCGTTGAAAGCATGAAATAAACAAGCCGCCGTCCGGCAGCTGATTGGGGTTTCCATAGTGCTGCTGATAGCTTGTCAGCTCTGCAGAGGCAGTCGGTGAGAGCGGGGACAAGAAGAAAAAGGTGGCGGAAACGCAGTACCGCCGCGTGGGGTTTCGGCAGAAAGAAAGCCCTGGTTGTTAGTATTCTGAATTTTATTCGTTGAGTGAGTGGAAGCCAGTGGAGGGATTGGCAGAGAGGGGTAGCAGGCAGTGAACGGTTGGTATGCTTTTAGGCCTCATTTAAATTAGCAGTTTGGGGGGCATTACAACACAGGGTGGTTGAGCACTTATTAGTGCCCCCCCTACTGCCCCCAATGACAGCCAATGGAGGTGTTCACATGATGCTTCACTTTGTGGCCACAATCAAAATTATCCAACACATTGCGATTGGCAGATGACAAACCTGCTGAATGCGACCATTCAAGTGAAGAGGGAAAAGGGCAGCTGCATGCACTGCAGTGCATTTTGTGGCAAATAATGGGGTTAAAACAGACAGTGAGGAGGCGTCACATTGCCTCCCTACTGCCTGTCACTGCATCTGAAAATCAATATGAACACAGATCACTTTTCATAGGAGTGTCAGGTTTAGATGCACGTCTAAACCTAGCCTTAGAGATGTGGGTTTAATGTCCAAACTAGTAATAGTATTTTTTAACCCTTTCTTGAACAGACGTGATTGAAGTATAGATGCTCAGAACAAATTTAGCATCATTGCATACATCAGTTAAGTGACAATAACTCTAGAGGCGTATTTATAATGCAGTGTATGATATAAATGCAACAATCCCCACATATTCACTTCAGTCGAATCTTCCTAGTGAATATGTTTTAATATACTGTGAATGATTCACAATCAGTGTATGTTTGGTGAATGTCACACGGTCTGCTTTATAATTATGCCCCAGTGACTCATTTGTCTACCTAAAAAATATGGACATATAGGGATTTTACTTTGTATACTGTTTAAATTGTTACTAAACACAAGGATATTTTTTGTGAGTGTGGCACGGTATATAATAGTTTGGTTTAAAGTGTTACTAAACCCACCACAGTAAAATCAGTCTGTAAATGCAGGAAAGCATGCTTGTTATACTCACTGTGGAACCTAAGGGGTTAATCATCTGCATTGCGTAAAACCACTGTTTGATCCTGTCTTCTCTAATCCTCCCTTCTTCCAGTTCCCCCCTCTTACTCCATGATAAAACATGGGGAGTCACTCTGCACATGCTCAGTTTGATGTGTATTGCTAGACAGTTTTTTTTTTTCTTGGGAAAGTGCATGTGATCAACACAGGGCCAATCAGCACTGTCCAGACAGAGGTCAGGAGTCCTGCATCCTCCTAGAGCAGAATGAAAACTCCTCCTGCAAGCTGATAGGAGTCACAAGACTGCTCTAACTGCTTATGAGAAAAGGTATTTAGCAGTTTATATTTACTATATGTGAGAAAATGCAGCACAAAAAAAAAAAATATATATATATATATATATATATATATATATATACAGCGGAATGGTAACGTGCAACACATAAAAGTGCAAAAAAAGCTAAATCTAAGAATCAATCAATAAAAGCATCATATGGTAATGTAAATGAGCTGAGTTAAACAGTAAAGTGCATAAAGTAAAAGCATGAAAACATCAGCTAAACAGCTCAAAAAGCAAATGCAAAACAATAAGTGGGTGTGTCAGGGGCAGAATCTAAATACAATAATGTCCGTAGTGATCTGTGAAGTAAAGTGCAGTAGTAAATGATGTTACAATAAACATATAAAATCTGAGATATATAAATAGGATAAAACTCTGCATCAATGTCCGTGGTTAGACGTGCTATTAATATAGTCAAATATCCATAAATGGAAGCAATAGTCCGTGAAACTATAAGGTGCAGTATAATTAAGGTGCGGAGTGCAAATGTGCTGATGATCACACAAAAGAATCCACCACCTCTCTCGGATGTACACTCACCAGATAAAAACTGATAACAGGCAATCAAGCATTAAACATCTGAGAATGGAAGGCGGCCAAAGTGTTAAACTGGACCAAATTCGTCCTGGGCACTCAGAGGGGAAGTCAGCCCTTGTCCTAGAGGGAACAGCTCACCACAGGAGCCAGTAAAGTTGCATATAGTGTAGTATTTAATGAAACATTAAAAAGTATCCATGTGGAGACAGAAATCAAAAAGTATAAAAGTGTACCAAGGTGGCTACCACTCAAACCATCGGCAGCGGTGACGTGACGTCAGCAAATGGCGGCTCTACCCAACGTGTTTCGTCCGCATGCACGTCTCCAGGTGCACGCCTCCAGGTGCACGCCTATTATCACCATGGACATTATTGTATTTAGATTCTGCCCGTGATACACTTTATTGTTTGGCATTTGCTTTTTAAGCTGTTTAGCTGATATTTTCATGCTTTTACTTGATGCACTATACTGTATCACTCAGCTCATTACATTTATGATGCACTTTACCATATTGTTTGATTTTTATATTTAGCCTTTACCAATGTTTTTTGCCCTTTTATGTGTTGCACTTTACCATTCCACTATATATATATATATATATATATATATATATATATATGTGTGTGTGTGTGTGTGTGTGTGTGTGTGTGTGTGTTTTTAGCGCTGAACTTTCTTACATATACTATTGTAGGGGATTGTTACCTTCACCTTGTGTGCTAGCTGCTCCCCCAATATCGCCAGAGCTCACCTATATATTAGATTCTAGTTTATATTTACTAAAATAATTACATGTCCATGTTCTGTGTACTGTGGGAGACCAGATGTAGTGAATGCAGGGTCCTGGGTTTAGTAACACTTTGAACATTACTAGACTCTATGTTGAGGGTATGCCCACAAACTTTATCAAAGTTCCTAGTGTGTATCATTTATGCTCTGCTTTTTTGTCCCCCTGATACGGCTCCCTGGCTGCTGTTGCAGGCAAATCCCAGCTGTCAAAATAACAGTATCAGTATGAGCAGCCGTTCCTGTGGGTAAAATAAAACTTGTATAAAGTGTCTGCATGTGTCATTGTGAAATACAACGTAGAAATGTATTGTTACTCATGTAAAGCAAAGAGATAACCCTTAATCTGCATATGATATCAATTAAAGCAACTTTACGAGTTATACAAAATAAAAAAATTAAAAGATTCCATTTTAACCCATTATTAACCCTTTGTTAACCCAATCAGCTGGAATTAACTCCTTCCTACCATTCTTACTTTAGCTATATTTTTGCAAATATTTTCTCTTTTTGTTATTAATAATATTTAACCTTTTCTGTTTTCATTCTTTTTGTTTGTTAATGCTTGCAATGTCACATAAAAGGGTGCCCACAATTAAAAAACAAAACAACTATAATTACTTTGTAAATATCTTTGCCATGCTTTGTACCAGTAATGTCATTTTACCATACATTATATTGTGTAAAAAATGTTTGTTGACACGTGACCATCACGCCTATATGGGCTTGTTGGACATCTTATTCTAAAAACTATGGGTATTAATATCTAGTTGCTTGCTCTCCTGTTTGTGGCTATAAAAGCCATCTCTCTTTTGGGAAGGCTTTTCAAAAGAGTTTGGAATGCACTTGTGGGAATTCATGCCCATTCAGCCAAAATGTTAGCTGTGAGGTCATGTACCAATGTTGGATTAGAAGATCTGACTCGCAAACAGTGTTCCAATTCATTCTAGAGTTCTTCAGTAGGGCTGAGGTCAGGGCCCTGTGCAGTCCCCCTGAATTCCTCCACACCAAACTCATCAAACCAAGTTTTTATAGAACTTTTTTTGTATACAGAAGTCTCTTCCCCAAACTGTTACCACAAGGTTGGAAGCGGACAATTGTCTAAAATTTCTTTGTATCCTATAGCAGCCTATTTCAACCAGGATGCCCAGTCACCCTGGGTTGCCTTCAGGTTTTTCAGGGGTGCCTTGGCCAAATGCCTACAAATGGCCAAAAACTGTGTACAAGCCAGCTACAGGTTTTCACTGTGCACCATTACAACTTTTTATCTGCTGGCATCCTAATAACCAATGATATCATCAGTTGACAAGGAGGAAGTCAGGTGCCTGCATAGCATCTTTGTTTGCCTCTCCCCTGCCCCTCTCTGTCAGCACTGGGGTCACATTAGCTATGTGAGGGAGAGAAATTGAGGAAAAAGAGAAACATTGGAATACTAGTCAGTATACTATATAATGTTGAGTGTCCCATGTGTGTAAATATTGCTGAATTACGTAAACTTATTAGTTTATTTTTTTTACAGTTTAGAATGGGTGCCTTGAGATTGTTCATCATTTTAAAGGGTGCCTTCACTGAAAAGAGGTTGAGAAACACTGTCCTATAGCATTAACAGTACCATTCACTGGGAACACCTGAGCGCAATAACTTAGTAGGGTGTCCTAATGTCATTTGAAAATTAGGATATGTAAACAAAGAAAATCAGTGAGCGCTAACAGAAATAACAGCTAATTGCACCAAAAAGGAATTACAAGTCCTCTCAAAAAGTATACCAAGATGGTCTGGTCTGGTCTGAGGTTCCCTCCCTCACTTTTGAGTAATTTTCATAATAAATTACAAGTTTACTACACTATGGGATCCCCTTTTTTTTGCTCTACCATGAGCACTTAAACCCCCAGGACCCAAGTCTCATCCAACCCGGGGGAAGGATTAACTTTCCTATGACCAGACCCATGAGAGGGACCTCTGATTGACATCACCTTATACACCCATACCATCAGAGGGAGGGAACCGCAGATCAGACCTGGTTCCATTGAAGGGATTTCTCCAAACTGTCTAATATTAAACAAATGCACATTATGATTGTGCTTCTGGTGAGTTTGCAATCTTACTAACCTATCGCACATCACCGGATGTTGAGCACTCCTCACCTTAAGAATTATTCCTGATTTCTAGATCATATGCATACAGCCTGCTGGAATTTCACTCTGAATAGCACCTTCACGCCATAGAGCTAATAATTGGGACTCATATGTGCTTTTATGTGCTTTTATATGCTTTTAAATAACAATTTTTTCTGATTGTTGACCATGATGTTTTTTTCATTGATGAGTATGATGTTTTAGATATTTGAAAATTAGGATATGTTTGTTTATCTAGTTACTGTACATGGATAAGATTTACCTATTTTTCTTTACAGGAGCTTTGCCAGGCAGCCTAGGAAAAAACACAACTTTTCTGCAGTACTTACCCTACGAGGGCACAGCAATGCTGCCACCACCATGTAAAAAGGGGGTGGTTGGGATGAAGTGCTGGTTTTGAGATTTGAGATGTGAGATGTGACATAGAAATAGCCTGGAGTGTTCTTGCAGTAAAGGGAAACTAGGGACATGCTGAGACAACAAAGAGAGGCAAAGTTCAGCTATGTGTCAGGAGGTAAGAACAATCCTGTGGACATAAGTAAAAGAGCACATCTAATGACCATCATTAGCAAGCTGTTGCAAGTTCATCAGACACTTCATAGACATTACGAAGGTGCATCTTCTCAAAAGGAAAGAAAACTCTCCAAAAGGCAATTGATACGGCCAATTTGTTTCCTTGTTAGTGAAAAGAACACTTCAAAGTATTAACAAAGAAGCTTAAATAAAAGATACAATGCATTGGTGCAACAACTATTGGTTCTAAAAATGTTGTCATGGTCTTTAAGAGTATCTCTAGAAAAAATGTTTTCAGATGTTTCTTTACTTTCTGTCCTGGTTACAACACTGTCTTGAAGTTTTGAAATCTCCAGTAGGAGTACACAGACAGCAATAAAAAGTGAACAAGGTTCTTACCTTCTCCCAGTTGGGTTTATATTGCCATTGTTCAATGTTTTTATTGAATTTTACATGTTACAAATAACAAAGGCACTTGGGTGGCATGTTGTGCAGAAAATATTACAAAGATACATTCGTGTACGCATACAGGTCAGCATAACAAAGTGGGTTTATGATTTGCAGGAGATATTTCTTCCAAAGATTGTAAGTTCAAGTCTAAAATGGCAACTAAGATGGAGAAGTCAAGCAGTACCCACCAAGACAGAAGTAATACAATGAAACACAGGAATATTCTATTCAATACCTCATGCATCCAAATGCAAATAGAAAATATGAACGGCTAGCTGGGAAACTCAGGCTGTCATATGTGTTGCAAAGGGGAAGGGGGGGGGGGGGCAGGAGGGGAAGAAGAGGGGTCCCGGGGGTCTACATGGAGATAGGTCAGATAAAGCCTCGTACTGTCAGAGGTGTTTAGATTATTAGGTCGGAAGCAAGTAAGTGTGTTTTCTTAAAATGCAGGGGAAGATAGTGGTCAACCGATTGGCTGCCAGATTTTTTTGTATTTCACAACTCTTTCACGCCTCGATTGTT